TTTTAAAAAATCAAGAAAGAAAATATTTATAAAAATGACAATACATTTTAAGCATTATATGAATAATAAACATATTATTCATCCCTCTTTTTAACTTATTATTCATTAAATTAATCATTATTCATCATTATTCATTCCTCCTTTTAGGAGGAATTAAACATTCTTCTTTTACATTTACTATTTGAAATCGTTATCATTTTCACCTCAGTCCCTGCTCCAAGACAAGATGCCTGATTCTGTCTTGCATCTCTTATAAATTATAATATTCAGAATCATCGTCTTATCAACTCCTCTGGATACACGCCAATTTGTGAATGTCTCTCGTAAAAAGTGCCACACTGGACTAAGCAGGATGATCCTGATGTGGGTGAATAAGTGGAAGAGAAAATGATGTCCTATCATGAATATGCGTGGCTGTCCACTTGCTGTGTATGATGAGATGCAAGTGTTCTTATTATTACCAACGTCTGTGTCATTTATAAAGGATTTAAGAATTGTCTTTGAAAACCTCTTTTAAAGATAGCAAAATGACCAGAAGACTAAATGTAGAAGAATAAATACTGATGATTTATTTTCCCTTAACCACACAACTGATTGGGTATAGCAGATGTCCTTTAAATCATCCAGTTTTGCTCTTCATTCACTGAAGGACGGAGGGCTTGAATTATTATCTAAAATGAAGTTTAAGCTGTATCTATGACTTTAAGTCATCCATGATTTTACTTACATTGTCTTACCAGGGATATGAAGAGCTATAATAAGCCCTGAAACTAACAAGCAGGAAATATAATAATCTGCTCGTCGTTTTTATCAGTCACTGTTTTTCTCTTTTCTAGAAAGGCAATTCTAAGGCAAATTATTGGTAACCTATCTGAAAATATCATGACCTGTTCTGAAATAATATGTGAAATGACTATTTACCAAGTTGGTATGATTTCATGAATTGTTAGCTCTTGTGTGCAAAGGCAGGCAGGAATGAGAGGCTGCTGTGTTAACCCTTCGCTTTCCTTTGAGTCGAATAGTTTGTATGAAACAAATAGGGCAGTCATCCACTCTCCCAGCTCTATTTGCTGTCTGCCTTCAGCAAGTCACTTTGTCATTCTCCCACTTTGTTTCTCCACCTGGAAAATCTGGAGTATCGTACTTATAACTCCTTTCCTTCTGAGACTGTTGAGATCTTTAGGAGAAATACACTCTACACATTCAAAGATTTATGACAGTATTATTTTTTTAAACTGCTTACTTAAAGAAGGGGAATGAACTGGAGTTGTTAAAGTAATAAGGATATGCCATTTGAGGTTAGACTGTGGTTAGCAGGAACCAACAGCCAAATGTGGTTTTGTTTTGTATTTCCTTTGTCAATTTCAGCTGATTTCAGGCTGGCCCATTCTGAAAATAAGGCTGTATTTCACAATTCCTGGAATGTGCCCACCTAAGAAAAGAAGGCAGGTAGTCTGCTTGGTGATGATATATTTCAAGAACGAATTGTTATTTCCTGTGAATTTGCAACACAACATGCTGAGAGTTGAGTTGGAGCTAGAATATCAAATAACAAATAGTATACAAAAGGGATAACACTGCAAAAAAAAATTTCAAGTCAAAAATCAAAACAGAGCTCAGTGATTTCAGAAGCAATGGCTTCTTGTCAAGAATAACTGTCATTAAAATTTCCATAAGCACCAGTGAAATTGATTTTGGGGAAAAGTCTAAGGGAGGGTCTGTTTTATAAGACGCAGTGAAACTTTATTTTATTCTGAATTTTCCCAGCCAAGTTTGTAAGATCTCAGATTTTTCTTGGGCCCTTTCCCTACCACGGGGCCAAAGGTTTATCTCTATTGACACATACAGACTAAAAATTTTCATCCAGGAACCTCTATCAGGAGAGTCTAAATAGTCTCCTTTGGCTACTGAATCACACTAAGAGAGTCTCAGTCCTGAGATGATCAGCGGTGAGAAGTTCAAAAAATAATAAAAAGAGAAAGCATACAGGTGTGACAATACGCTTCTGATATACCACACCAAGTCCATGGAGCACAAGAATTGGTCTGGCGTCACTGTTTTATGTTCTCTGGATGTTGAAGAGTCTGATTTGCATTAGAAACCTCTGCATTCAGTAAACAAAAATCAGGATAATAATGACCAAAGTACTATTTGAAACAGAAAACAAACTCAAGCAATTGGTGTTTTGCAGTGAATTCATTCAAGATTTTATTAGTTAAGCTCTCACTTAGGTTATTAGGCTCAACTTGCTTTTTATTTCACTGGCTTCAATTACTCCAAACAAAAGGAGCCTGAGTGTGTGTGTGTGTGTGTGTGTGTGTGTGTGTAAGAGCACGTGTATGTGCGTGTGTGAGAATGTCAGACATATCACAAACATTCATCACATTGCAAACCCATCAACAAAAGGAAGAAGATCTGAAGGGAATCAGTGTTTTCTTTCTTTCTTTCTTTTTCTGGTTTAAGGGATGGAGGGAGAATTTCTCTACATAAACAAGAAGGTTAGCATTGGAAGTCTGCTAAAAAAAATGTTAGAGCTGACCACAGGGTTGTAAATCCACTGACTGGAAGGAGGAAAAGAGAAACATTGCAAGCGACTGAAGTGTGTGTGGCTGCAATGTTTGTGGGTTAGATGAGAAACAAGCGCTGAGTGAAACAGAGAAGGGGGGTGGCTGGTGTGATTTGTTTGGCGTTCAGAGCCAATAGAAATCCCAGACTGTGATAATATCCCCATGCAGCGCCGAGAGGATTCAGAGCTAAGTCTCCGGGCTCCTCTCACATCTGCAGGAGCAGCCAGCCTGGGACCGCGCGGCGCGGGGCGCGCGCTCGCCCCTCCTGCACCCCCAGCCGGCGCGCTTCTCTTATGGGCGTCTGCTGCAGTCCGGCTGCGGCCGAACGGAAAGCGGCAGCGGGAGGCCAAACTTAGACCCAGCTGTGGACTATTGAGCCCAGAGGAGGCAGAGGGAGAGGGAGAGAGAGAGAGAAGGGGCTCGAGGAGGAGGCTTCCACCACGTCATTGCAGGTACGCGGCTTGTCACGGCTAATGTGACACGGTTTCTGATTTCTGCCTCCACGAGGCACTTAGAATGAAACTGACATTGTTGTTCCGTGGCTGGCGGGGGTGGAAAGCACGGAGCGGGTGTCTCGCCTGCTTCTCCCCGGGGAATTAACTGTTGGCGTGTGCTTGGGGGCCACAAGGCTTATTCGCCTATTGAATTATGCGTGGGAGGAAAGTAAGGACCTTCAAACTTGACCGTGATCTCTCTTTTTCTCTTTTAAATAACCTCAATACCAATATGTTGTCATGCAACCAATAAATACCTCTCGGTGACCGCCATTCTAATTATGACTATGGGGAGTCAAACACCATCTGATGGTTAGAAAGCAGGCTATGAACATTTCCCAACCTACCTATAGGTTGATATCCTCCCTAGAGGAATAGGAACCACTGTGGACTTCGGCATAGTTTTGGCTTTAAAAGCATGTGGCCAAGGTGCACTAACCTCATGAGTGAAATATCACTATACCACTATGCTGTGGTTGAAGGAGAAAAAGACAGAAGGGAGGTAGATGTTTTTTAATGTGATTGTCAGTGATCCTTCCTGTGTACCTGATTTATTTCTACATTGTCTTACCAGCTTAAAAGTGCATTTGTATTCTGCATGCCAGGCACCATCAGTTTCAGGATCTCATGTGTTACCACATTAAAAAGTCATTAATTAGAACCATCTAGTAGATGTGATATTTGTAAGAAAATATTGATTTTTGATTTTATTTGGTTTCATCCTAAAACTCAGACTTCTACCTATTTTTTTTTTTATTTCAAGGTGTGAGTTCTGTTAAAAAAAAATCTGTTTCCTGAGATTTTATCGCATTTGATTTGAAATTTTAAAGATGGTTATATAACTTTCCCCTGCTGTTGATTACTCGTGATTAAATTAGCATTGCCTAATGAGTTCAGTCCTTCCCGGGAAAAGTCAGAGGGAACTGCACAAAGTCTTGGTTAAAAGATTGGTCTTGCTTTGCAGTCTTCAAGGGCTGGCTGGTATTCATGTGGCTCTGAATCCCTATGAAAAACACTTTTTCTGCAGTGGAAAAGATTGGGACTCCAGTTCAGCCAGGGAATGGCTCAGCAGCAGGTGCAGGGGCAATCACATACGTTACCTTTCGTCTAAATAGCCCTCTCTCTGGTGGAAGAGGGCTATTTACCCACCGATAATTCACAATCAACTCAACATTCAGTAGTGCCTAGTTCTCAAGGTAGTCCTTGTCCCAAGGCAGGTGCCTGACCAAGGAACATAAGGAAGTTATAAGAAAGGTATTTGTGTTGTATATCACAGTGGAGAATTTATATTGACCTTTTTTGTTTGTTTGTTTGTTGTTTTTTCTATCAGATGAACGTGTTCTTTCTTTCATTAAAGGAAATGCATGCTTAGTTCTACATGGAGTCAGAAAACTTCATAGTTTTTGTGCATTTATTGATCTGAATGATTTAATAGGGTTTTTTTTTTAATTGTGTCAAAGTATAGACATGGCAAGTGAATACAATATATAGAAGGCATTTTGATTTTATAGATGAATTTTTTTTCCTTTTACATCAGAAAGAAACTGTGAAGAATTTAGCTCTTCAAATAAATATAAATTAATCGACCCAACCAAATTCTATTAGTAGTTAAGGATTGTTTTGTATGATTGTGAGCATCTGTCACTCTTCTATAAATAAAAGAGCTGCAATAAATTGGGACCTATTTCCCTCCTAATTTTCAAACTCTAAAGTAATGTTGGGCGTGTTGGTAGCAACTTTGTGAGTGTGAGATTGATTATATTCACTTTGTATAGAGTAGGAGACACTGATGGCTTTTCAAAGATAGTTACAAATAATGCTGTGATTATTCATTGTTTTGTGCTATCGTTTTTCATTGAGAGAGGTAATCAAGTCATTCTCTTTTTTCTTCTTTGTTTTTGCATCTTTTCTTCTAAAAGCACTTCTTGATTTTTTTTTTTTAAATATAGAATGCTTCATGAATTTGCGTTGTCATCTTTGTGCAGGGGCCATGCTAATCTTCTCTGTATCCTTCCAGTTTTAGTAGATGTGCTGCCCAAGTGAGCATTCTCTGTAAATCTTAGTAGAGCCAGCCAGAGCTTCACATACCCTCGAGTTATACGTTTGGTAAAGTTTAAACAAGGTACATGCCCTTAAATCTCTTTAAAGTAAACACCTCTTTTTCAAATGCAAAGGAATGGTATTAGACTCTCAGTTCCCACTGATATGGAGAGGATTGGCCTATCTGGGTCAAAGGCAGACACTGAGGGACAGCAAAGGCACAGGCGCACAGCAGGTTAGTTCAGCCCCATTTGTACTTCGGTGTTGCTACGGCAGTCACCCCTGTGTGATGTGTCAGGTTGCAGACATGTGCTCAGTATCAGGGTCATTTAAATATCGAGGCGAAAAAAAAGAATTATTTCAACCAGAGAAAACGTGCCCAGCATTGGGCTTAAAACGGGTCACACAAAGCACCCACAAAAAAGACAAATCCTTTTGAAGGACAAGGTGTTCAACTAAAAATTAGACCTATGATGCCATCTACTTCTTGGATTAGCTGCTTCTTGATAGTTTGTTTCTAATAATATTAGATATAATAGACCTAATAATATATAGAATTAATTCCGATCACATGTCAGGCTAAAATATGGTCCTCAGACTCAACACTGACCATTGGCTTCTGTAAATTTCCCATTGCCGCCACTTCTAGTTGGAAAGATGTCTTTAAGTGGCCAGCATGTTGATGGGTCCCGGACGGTACTGGAGCACTGATTTGCAGAACAGAGCCCCAGAGCCACATAGAAGTTAAGAGGATGGAAAGTGAGAGGGTGGTAGCCACAGGGCATAAAGTGAGATGATATAAAGATTGACACGCTACCATCCTTGTCAAAACAGTGAAACCCCGTCTCTGCTAAAAATACAAAATTAGCTGGGCATGGTGGCAAGTGCCTGTAGTCCCAACTACTCAGGAGGCTGAGACAGGAGAATTGCTTGAACCCAGGAGGTGGAGGTTGCAGTGAGGCAAGATCATGCCACTGTACTCCAGCCTGGGTGACAGAGTGAGACTAAGTCAAAAAAAAAAAAAAAATCAAAAGATTGACATGCTTCAGTATAAATCCAGGAGCCAAAGGAAGATGAATTTATTTCCTCTAATTAGCTTCAAATATACATTTGTGATTAGCTTCAAGTATACATTTTTGATGAGACATCCTGAATATTTTAAATAAACTCTCATGTGTTCTTAGGTATCTCACACACAGGTGTGGAATTAAAGGAAATACATTTGATGTACTGTAACACTCCTGTCTATACAGGCCAGGAGAGGGCAGCATGCAAACTCCGAAAAAGTGATTTGATACCTCCCCTTGACCATGAGGAAGACTCCCGTCTCCAAATGGCAAAAAAATGTTTTTCGAACTTGAAGTGCCCTCTTCCCTTTGGAGAGCCAACTCTAGAGTCTTAGTAAAGGCACACCATCCAGAAGAGTTTGTTTCTATTTTGGCCTCCAGAATCGGTGCCACACGGCAAAATCAGAAAAGCAGCAGCGTATTTCACAGGAAACTCGATTTCCCTTTCTTTTAGTTAGCTTTACCCTTTGAACCTATTCAAGCAGTCTTGAGCGTTACTCTGTTAGGTGACAGGTGAGAGAAGGCGAAAGAGAACGCAAGGAAAAGAGGACGAGAGGAACGGGGTTTCTCAAGTTGGTTCTCCAGGGAAAACGTTTATGAGCTGCTTCGTCAGTAGACCCAGCCTTTGTTTTAAGCATGTCTCAAATACAAGTTCAGGGCCACGGGATCGATTCTGTCCATTGACAATCAGAATCCTAGCAAATTTGGTTTCAAAACAAAAGAGGTGGAATAGCTTCTCTTGGTTGTACCCAGAATCTAAAGACATATGCTTAAAAAATAAGAATTGTGCATCCACCTCTTAGTATTTCAAAAATAATTAAAACTAGTCCATCGTAAACCTAGTCTAACTTTTTTTTTTTTTTTGAGACAGGGTCTCACTCTGTCATCCAGGCTGGAGTGCAGTGGCGCTATCTCAGCTCACTGCAGCCTTGACCTCCTGGGCTCAAGTGATCCTCCCATCTCAATTTCTCCAGTAGCTGTGACCACATGCTCATGCCACCATGCCTGGCTAATTTTTGTATTTTTTTGTTGAGACAGGGTTTCGCCACGTTGCCCAGGCTGGTCTCGAACTCTCAGTCTCAAATCCAGCTGCCTTGGCTTCCCAAAGTGCTGGGATTATTACAAGTCTGAGCCACCGTTCCCAGCCAGTTAAAACTTTGTAAAACTCATGGCTCATCTGCTGTTTCCTTGTGTAGTTGCTGCCATCAGAGATGAGTCATTTTCCAGGGACAAAATATAATTGCACATAGAAGAGAGAATAGTCCCTCTTAAAGTGAGTGTCCTGTGACTAGCAGCGAGGACTTCTGAATGGTTCATCCTAATTTCGCTATGTTAGCTTCAGGGGCATCCTTGTCTCTTTGGGTCTTTGGTTCAGCTGCTGCACAGCTCACTACTAAATATGAGGGATCTAGGAGGAAATTCAGAGAGGAGCTTTTTAAATAACATCTGAGAAGGCCAGAGTAAAAGCAGACTGGAGGAAAACGCTGTGGCTACTCCTGAGAGAGAAGGCAAAAGGAATGTTGGGGCCGGGTGCGGTGGCTCATGCCTGTAATCCTTTGGAAGGAATGAGCCACCACGTCTGGCCCCAACATCCCTTTTGCCTTCTCTCTCCTTGGGAGGCCAAGGTGGGCAGATCATGAGGTCAGGGGACCAAGACCAGCCTGGCCAACATGGTGAAACCCTGTCTCTACTAAAAATATAAAAATTAGCTGGGTATGGTGGTGCATGCCTGTAATCTCAGCTACTTGAGAGGCTGAGGCAGGAGAATCTCCTGAACCAGGGAGTTGGAGGTTGCTGTGAGCCGAGACTGCGCCACTGCACTCTAGCCTGGCGGCAGAATAACACTCCATCTCAAAAAAAAGAGATGTTAGGCTGGGGATGGACTCACTGGGCAAGGCTGTAAAGACATCTGTTTCAAGAAAGAGTGACTCTGCCCCTTGTGGTGTGAAGGATTCCAGGAGGCTTGGGAGGATGCCCATCGAGGTCTCAGCTGCTTGTGTGCATATATGAGTCCTTGAAAGTGCTGATCTCCACTTCTCTCTGGTGCCACCATACTCTGCTGGGAGGTGTGGTGGCCTTGAATCAAAGCAAAGGGTTTTTTTCAAGGACAAAGTCAAGATTCCTTGGTATCTAGGAGGAACAGGGAGGTCACTGTTTGTCCCCTCCATTTTCAGCCAGATGAGCCTCTGCTGGACTCCCACATACTGTCTAGAACTACGCAGTGCTTTGATGTGAGGAAAGCGTGGATGAGTATGAGAGGTTATTCCAGGGTCTCCATGGAATCAAACACAATACCGTAATAGTAGGGTATTAACAAACGAGGGGGAAAATAAGTCCTAGAAGCAGGGTGTGTGGGGAGGAATTGTAAGATTTATCAACTGAAGTCTAAGGCCAAGACTCTTTTTTGCAGATTTTAATGTAGCACATCCCAATTATTTTAATATAGTCAGAGGAACCCCAGGTTCCATCTCTCTTTTGCAGATTACTTTCCAATGGAAAAAAAATCTAATAGCTGAAGGAGAAATCTCTTTGAAGGTGCTTACCTGACTGAGAGATACAACAGGATGGGTAAGATTCTGGCAGATGCCACAACCCTCATAACAAAGATGGAGACCATCCTGGCCAACACGATGAAACCCCGTCTCTACCAAAAATACAAAAAATTAGCCGGGTGTGGTGGCATAAGCCTGTAGTCCCAGCTACTAGGGAGGCTGAGACAGGACACTTGCTTGAACCCAAGAGGCAAAGGTTGCAGTGAGCCAAGATCACGCCATTGCACTCCAGCCTGGGTGACAGAGCAAGACTGTCTTAAAAACAAACAAACAAAAGACATACTAGAAGGGTATGTTTCACTAAGAAACCATGTCTGCATGATGAATGCAAGCAATTTAGAAACAAAAGAAATACACGACTTGTAGAAAAGTTCTCTTAAAGGACAGGTTTTGGAGGACATGAGGCCAAGAACACAAATATTCCCAAACACAACTTTCATGTTATGGATTAGTAGCCATTCCATGCTAAAATTCTTCTCTTTATAATTTATTTAAACAGTGAAAGAGGGGAAAAAAAGAGAACACTGAGCAGGGGAACACTTGACCAGCTCCTATGTAATGCTAAGTTGACTTTGTCTAGTACAAACATTGTCTGCATTAAAAATATTATTCAACCTGGTTCTACAGCTGAGACTCTAAAGGCTGAGAGGAAGCTAATCTTATCATCTCTGGAGAACTAGCCGCCTCTCTCTGCTTCCATGCCTCTATAACACGAACCCTGGATATGCATTACATTTTCCGATTATAGTAGCTATGTTTTGGGAAAGTTGGTAGACGTGTGACATTATACTTATAGTTAATAAAAATCCAGCAGCTCTATAATGAGATTTCCCTGCTCTTGCTAGGAATCTAAATCTCATCAGCATTTCAAACCATCTTTCATTTTCCCGTCTTAATAATTTTTAAAAATTAAAAGTGTTCCTACATTTGTTGAATGCATACCATGTGCCAGATTAGGGTAGACACATCCCACATATTATTTAATTCAGCCTTCACCACAGTCCTAGGAGTTTATCGTCTGCAAGTTTTAATGATTAAGATAATTTCGTTTTTCTTTTCTTTCTTTCTTTTGAGACGGAGTTCCACTCTTTCGCCCAGGCTCGAGTGCAGTGGCACGATCTCAGCCCACTGTAATATCCCTCCCCGAGCTTCAAGCGATCCTCCTGCCTCAGCTTCCAGAGTAGCTGGGATTGCAGGCGCCACCACCACACCCAGCTAATTTTTGTATTTTTAGTAGAGATGAGGTTTCACCGCGTTGGTCAGGCTGGTCTTTAACTCCTGACCTCAAGTGATTTGCCCGTCTCAGCCTCCCAAAGTGCTGGGATTACAGGCATGAGCCACTGCACCTGGCTGAGAATTTCTTATAATCATAACATCTGATAGCTGAG